AGTCATGTGATAACTGATTAAAATTGGTGACATTAGTATGTACTCATGTTTACCTTCTTACACATATATCTGCATATAGTTATAGTTATATATAGAAATATTTATAGATACACAGAAGTTAATATAAACACATTTGTTTCCTAGCCTTGTCAGCTGAGATGATCTAGAAACAATGACATCTCAGTAGCAAGGAGAACACCCGTTATCCAGATCTTGGTTTCTAACAGCATTCTCCAATGAAAGAAACCAGTGCTTCTAAAAAAAAAATGACTGCATTTATAGTAAATAAGAAAGATGAGCCTAGAGCATTTGGTTGCATAGTGGCAAGAAGTAAGAAAATGATGTAGAAAACCCACACAAACTCACAATGATGGGGCTATGTCAAAGAGACATAGGAACTATCTGAAAGAGTAATCAATGGCCAAGCTTTAATAATTTGAGTAACAAAATAAATTATTGCTCTAGAAATCAATGTAAAAAATATCCACATATCTATATTAATATAAATAAATCATTTAATTAATTAATAAGGAAAAATGGACAAATTTCTTGTGCAGAAAAATTCTAAATAATTTATGCAGATACTCAAGCCTTAAAGCAATAGAGAATAACTTCTTGTTCCTTAAGTGTGAGCTACACATAGTGTTTCATTCCGAGTACAGTATAGAAAATGAGAAAAAAAGAACTTTACAGTGGAGAAAACTAAACCCAACCTGAGTCACATGATCAAGGTTAACATCATGGTGATGTTATGTTGACAGTATGTACCTTCGATACGATATAATGAAAATGACACTTTACCTCTGCAGTCTTCTTCCCCAAAACTCATAACCCCAGTCTAATCTTGAGAAAAACATCAAATTAATCCCAGTGGAGAGATAGTCTACAAAATGCCCAACCAGTATGCCTCAAAATTGTCAAAGTCATCAAATCAAGCAAAGTTTGAGAAACTTGTTACAGCTAAGAAGAGCCTAAGGAGACATGATGTCTAAATATAATATGGTACACTGGATGGGATCCTGGGGCATAAAAAGGGTAATAAGTAAAAGCTAAAGACATCTAAATAAAGTATGGACTTTAGTTGTTAATAATGTATCAATATTGGCTCATTAATTGTGACAGATGTACTGCCCTATTATAAGAGGTTTCTAAATGGGGACACTAGGTGTGGGGCGTATGAGAGCTTTCTATACTGTCTTCAAAATCTTTCTGTAAATATGGAACTATTCTAATTTTAAAAGTTTTTTTAAACAATTTAAACTGACAAAAATTAGTCCACAGTGAGAACTGTTACCAGCCTAAAGGATTGGTATTTTACTTCTTATACTGGTACTCAAAGGTCAACTCCAATATAAAATTTAAAATGTCACCACATACCGAAAAAGTGAAACTAAGAATTTATGTAAATGATTTTGTTTTACTTATGCCTTGATTTCTTTAGTATTTTTTTGTTCTTCTTACATAAGGACAGCAATAGTTCTATTGTTTAACGTTATCCAACAAAAGTTTACAAGAGAAATACTCTAATAAATCATTCTCATTTTGTTCAGGCTTACTTGATAAAAGATTGAATGAGTAAAGAATAAGTAAAAGGTATCAGTGAGGGAGACAAATAAAATAAATTAACATGCCCTAATGCTGACAAATCTGGCTAGTTATTTTAATGCTCATAATACTTGTAAAATACTTTACAGTAACACAGGAGTGTTGCCATTCACAATTTGTGCATCATCATCACATCCCCAGAAGCTGTCAATGTCCCCACTTTAATCACTTTTGCCCAATGATCCAGAGATGGTCTTATCAGAGAGGACCTTATTTCTAAACTATTCTAAGCTGAGAAGTGGTCTTCGCTGCCCATTTTGAACTATTTTTAAACAGCACTTTGTATTTAGCCTCTGAGAAAACCAGTTTTGGAAAAACAATGGCATTATGAAATCAAGCATTCTTTGAACACTACATAATGTTTGTTTAACTTTGATGGATGTAAGTAAATAACAAAGTATTTGACCTCAGGCTGGTTAGGTGTGTGTTGATTTTTATTGGATAGCTTCACTCTGAAATGGTTGGTGATGTTAAAGAATAAAGTTTTAAAATAAAACACAAATCCCCAAATAAAATCATAGTATATGCACCTAGGGTGAAACAAACTCATTTCTGAATTTATATGATGAAGTATATATTTCCCATTCATTCATTCATTCATTCCTGGATGCATTCATTCAACAAATATTTATTAAATTTATACAAGATAATTTCTGATGCCTAAATATAGCAACAAATGAAACCAAATCAATGCCTGCCTTCATAGAGCGTAAATGTTAAATGCAATTTATTAGTAGAAAGGTGGCAACACCATCAATTACTAGGTGAAAACCAAAAGTTATCTATAAGAAATACATCAGTCAAAAAGAGAACATTTGCAAAGTAATAAAGAACTTTGAAGACTGTCTTTTTCTGTGTCTTAACTAACACATAATGGAATAAATATATAGTGGTAATTAGAAAGTCAGTGTAATTCATGATTCAAGATAATTCATAAAGCTATTCACTACAAACATAGTATAATTTTTAAAAAAATCCACTGTCTTTCCTGAAGCCTCTGTTACTGTTTCTATTTCATTAAATGTGCTACTTTGCTACAAACACTCTGATGAACTAGGGTGCCCAGAACTTTTCTTGTTTCCATGTCTTCTGGATGATTTGTCCACAGTGCAGAATATGCCATGATTTTGCCTCACTGGACAATCAATGAGGACTTTGAACCTATGCCAAAATGTAGCTCTGAGAACTATCAGTCCATTTGCATTTCCATGGAAGTAAAGACTGCAATTTCAGAACTACTTCTAGACAAGTTTGGCTTTATATGCACACTATGTGTTCTGTAATATTCCAGAAAAATTTATAGAATTGGACATATTTAAGAAAATAAAATGAGGCCAAAAATATGCATCCTCTGGACCTGAATATCACAAAGCTCTGTGATTAAAAGAAAAAAGTTACATATTAAAATACCAAAGTGATTATCATCCTATTATGAGTATAAAAACACAAGACAATTAACTAATTTTGTTCTCTTACAGATTATATCAGTTTCTATTTATTTTAATTTTATTAAAAGATATACTTCACCTTTGGGTTTCATAGTTGCATTTGTTGGCATAAAAATAATTTTAAAAAATAAGTTTTTTGTATATTAGTTTGATTTTTCTTTTACCACCACTCATTCTGTATATACTAATTATATTCTCCTCTGTCCCAAGCACTGTTTTAAATCTAGGAATTTAGCAGTGAATAAAATAAATAATATTCCTGACCTCATAAAATTATATTCTACTTGAGAGTACTGAAAAAGCAAATCTATAATTAAGGTATGCATATCAGACGATGAAAGTGCAAGAGCTAAGGAGAATACTGAAACATGGAGTAGAGGGGATCATTGGTGAGTGGGATAATGTGAGAGTTAGTTACTTCCATCATAGAGTAGACAGGAAAGGTCTCAGTGAGAAACCCAGAGGGGAGAGTGAGATAGCATGCCAAGTGCAATGGTCCTCAGGCAGGAGTGTGTCTGACATACCTAAGAACAGAAAGCCTGGGCAGAGCTGCTGAGGAACAGTAGTAGGAGGTGAGATAAGAGAAGGCGCAGGGAGCAGGAAGGTCTTGATTCTTGTTTGTAATTCTGGTTTCGTGCTTTACTCTTGAGTGAATTAATTATATTTATTTAGAGAGTGCATATATATATATATGTTTTATAAATATATCATTTTTATATAAATGTAAATTTTGTGTATACATATATAAAACAATTTCACCAGTTGTCTGATAGTGTTTATAATGTTCTAATATAGATGAGGCTAACACTGCTGATAGATTATTCACCACAGCTGACGTCTTTTCCATTTTATATGTACATTATACATAGACTATACATGTTACATCTAATATATACTATAAATTATTTATCTCTTTACACACACACAAACACACACCTGTACATTAGAAAAATATTAGTCAATACATCTTTACAGTATCAAACCCAGAGTCCACAAAAGTCTCAGCAAATTGAGAAAAATAGATGTTGATTCAAATATCCATATGTTCGGGAATTCAAAATATGCAGACATCCATGCCACCTTGAACAAGCCCGATCCCATCTGATCTTGGAAACTAAATAGGGTTGGGCCTGATTAGTACTTGGATGGGAGACCACCTTGGAAGACCAGGTACTGTAGTCACAAATATATATATATATATTTTTTATTTATTTATTTATTTATTTATTTTAATCAGAAAAGTAGTCATTTCATAGACAATGGCAAATAACAATGAACATTACGGGTGATTGTAACTTCTAATGAAATATTTGGGGGAAAAGAAAATGGAAGAAATTGTTTCTTTTATTTGCTATTGTTTTCAAGATACACCACATATTTAATAACATTTTTGCAGAATATCCCACACTATATTTAGTATATGAATTTAATGATTATAAGACCTGTAAAAATAAAAGAAAAGAAAAAAGAAAGAAAACCCTGCAAGATTTCAAAAATAATAAAATAATAAAAATGAAACAATGTTGTAAAAATGTAATATAGATAATCACTTATGTGTTAACATAATGGGGTATATTGTACAAAGTCCATAAATTTTAGAAACATATAAGATATATAAGGTCATGAGAAACATCTTTATTTTTGAAAAAGGTAAAAGAGTTAATTTGTTTCTAAGCTTTACAAAAAAAAGTACTTAAGATTCAATATGACTACAGTTTTATTGTAAAGAATTATCAAGATAATTAGTTGATTTATATTTGTAAAACTTCACAATCTGTAAAAACTTGTATTACATATAGAAAGTAAAATTGTTTCCAGATTTAACGAAAATTTAATTGTTTGGGATTTTTATTATACAACATTCAAAGAATGCCAATAAACGTTATACACGGTTGTAATTTCAGAGCTCTGTTAATCATGCTACTCTTTATTTATATTATTTTGCAGCCCCCTCTCCAGTCACCAATGTGAAAAAGGGGAAGATTGCAAAAAACAGCATCTCTTTGTCTTGGCAAGAACCGGATCGCCCCAATGGAATCATCCTGGAATATGAAATAAAATATTTTGAAAAGGTGAGACTAACAGAATAAAGAATGTCTTTATTCCTTTTTTTTTTTTTTTCATTTTAGCAACTGCAATTATCCAATTTGTAGAAAAGCATGTTGCAATTTTACGCGTAAATCAATGAGAATTGATTCTGCAGTCATGACTATGGAGGCTAGAAGTGTACAGAGAGCACTGTATTTGTGCTATTTGTTGCCAAATAGTTTACACTACCGGAATACTGCCACATAGTCTAACAATCAGCTTAACTAGATCTCACAGCATTAAAAGATGAAGTCATAGGACATTTCAAAGTGTCACAAACACTTGAGTTGTTGACCTTGAGAAGCAACTGAGATATACTACAAGTAAAAACACATGCTTAAGGCTGGTAACCCTACATAATACCTATACTGTTAAGAAGTATGAGTAGATAAGAGGCTCTGGTAACCCCATAATACCTATACTGTTAAGAAGTATGAGTAGATAAGATAAATATATATATATATATATATATATATATAAAAACACATAATTTTTAAAAATCTGTAACAAAATCTAACACAGTAGCATAACATTTATTTTGCAATCTGATAACCCCAAATCAGAAATGTGTGCCTCACATCCTTATATTTTCTCAATTTACTCTTCTTACCTGAGTTGTCTCTTAGTCCACTCTTACATGTTTTTGCCATAATTGTAGAGGTCTAAAGGCAATAATCATCCCTCTTCCTCTTTTCTGAATCCACAACCAAGTGAACTATTGATAAAAGAATATTACAGATGGAAGCTAAAGATAACTCTATAATTTCTAAAACTGGACTAGAGTATTTGCACCGTCAGGAGTCTTTCTAAGACTCATCCCCTGACCCCCATTTTATTGTGATTTGTGATACATTCTGGATCTGAATAACATACACTAAGAACAATCTGAGTTCTAATAGAGGAGATAAAGATAAATGAGTAACCAAACCAGCCTCTAAGAGGTGGATATGAAACCCGGACCCGGAAGTGTGTGTCCTATGGAAGCAGGAGTAGAAAAGATCGTAGTCATAAGGCAGAGAAGCACTTTCCAAAAGAGAAGGTAAGGGCTCAGCCACACTTACCCAGTTGCTTCTCCTAAACTCACAGAGATATCATCCTTTCTCTCTTAAAGAAGAGTGAAGAGGGCTGGAAAAGTTTAAAAACTTACTTTGCAATGCCTAAGAAATTGTCCAAGCTAGGAAGTTGGAAAGAGAGGGGAAATAAATTGTTCTTATACTAATGCAAAAATATAATGAAAAAATGCTGATATCCTATTAATAAAAATTACTTCAAAATCTAATATTTTATATATGTAGATAAAAAGTGTAGGTAAATACACTGAAATGTTGAAATAATTCATAACATTATATATATATATATTTTAATTTTACTTCTTTCATTCATTGATTCAGCAATTACCTGTGTAAAGATACAACAGAAAATAAAACAGTAAGGTGTGTAGAAGGGAGAGTGGGGCTATCAACATATTCTTTCTAGGTCTTAGATATCTGGACAATGTTCATATATTGATTTTATAAATAGAAGAATAAATGGACAATTATTACTTTTGAAATAGTTGTCTTTCTAGAAATGAATTGATGGTATCATTACATGTAATATTGGATCATTAGGGAGCATAAATGAAGATATTTACAAGATATTTCACGAAAAAATGTTTTATCAAATATGTTATTCACAAAGAAGGCTCTAAGAAAATACCTCTGAAACAAAGAAATGTTGGGATATTGTGTATAATGTTTGTTATAAAAAAAATGTAAATCAAGTAAAATGTTGTGACATTAACATCCCTCAGTGATTCCTATTTCTCTAAGCTGATGTGCCAATTCTAAAGGTCTACAATTTAAACACATGCTCTTTTCAAACATAATTTATTAAAGTCTACATTCTTTATTCAAGTTTTTGTAAATGTCATTACTGTATACTAGTGCAAAGCTAGGTCAATATATAGACTGAATTCTTTAGTAAACATTCTGCCTCCAAATTTTATTATAATTAAAGTTGATTTTAAAAGAAGGTGAAATATGTAATGGCATTTAAAAATAATCATACACCAAAAACTATATGTTTGAATACATATATCTTAGATGAACTAGCATTCAATGTCACAAAGAATGAAAGTTTGACAAGTTCTTATTTTCCTGCATAGTTTTTCTTTCCCGGAAACAAACAGCTGGACCAATGTCTGGTTTTCTTTTTTGTCTCTATTGAAATCACCTGTTTTCCTCATTATGAGTAATCTTTATTTGTTTTTACTATTACTTCCCAACATATACATGAGTCTCATATACATAATATTCCATAGAAGCAAGAATTTATCTTTTTTTTTCCTTAAGCTGCTATTAAAGAGTTACTCAACAAGTGGTGGAACAGAGTTCTTTTTCATTAATATTCCTTCTAATGAATTTTATTCATGTTGTAGAATTTTCTTTGTAGTTTAATTTCTTTTTAAATTATATTTATTTCAGTAATATTTGGTTTTATATTTAATATTTTATATTTAATGCTGTATGAATACATTTTATTATCTGCATAACTCAAATAAAAAAATTTGGAAAAAAATATTTCTATGCATATTCCCAATAGATGAAGACTAAGTTGCCTACTTACATGTTTTAAAAGCAGCAAAACTTTACATATTATTCGGGGGAAAATTTTAAATTTGTGTGTGTGTGTGTGTGTGCATATGTTTTATAGTGAAGATATTAATTCCTAGACCTCTGGCCAAGCAAACTATTGAACATATGAATAAAATACACAGAAAGGTTTTTTGTTAACACTTTCAGAAGAAAAAAATGACAATGAGCTTTTATACTATGTATTGAGTGTGTGTGTGGAGGCGGGGCATCCTGACAGGTTTCCAGAGCTTATTTCGAACCTTCAGAATGACACCACCACTTTATTTGGATGGCTCTTAACCAGACACAGGTGGCAGAGCTTTCCAGGATTCATGTATTTGCCAGCTGGCATTTCTGCCCGCAATTGCCCTGCTCTAATAGAGGTCATTGGGCCTCTCTGCTCCAGCGTGGTGATGGGCTCATTGCCATCTCTTAATTAAAGGCAGAGGCAAAGGGAAGCTTCCCTTTGGCAGGGTGTTTGCCAGCTGGCTCCTTCTCAAAGGTCCTCCCCTCTCTGCATGTGAGCAGTGTTTGTTAAGCAGCTGGGGAATGTAGCTCATTTGCTCAGCAGGGGGCAGGAAGGCAGCAAAAGCCACTGCCCTCACCAAGGACTTGGCAGCCCATTGTCATGTGGTTGTGGGTGTGTTGAAAATGTATATATAGAGTTTGTGATATGAAAGAAATTATAATATGACAGTGATTGAAATGAGGGGGACAAAAGCAAATTTAGGAAGATCCTTAAGTAATTCACAATGTGTACTTATGGGTTTTGAACCATTAGATACATGCTTTGCTAAGTCCCTTCAATAATATAGTATTCACCTAACTCAGAGGGTCAGTGTATAATTAGACCTATAATAAGGAACCACTGAGATATACATAATGTTAATAAATAAATCGGAATATTGTATAATTTTGTGCAACTGACATTAGATTATGCTTTATTTCAAGGAGCAACTTTTCAGTGTCCCTGTAAAATTTTTCCCCTTTTTTAGGCAATAGCATCAATTTCTAATGTTTTACAAAGCATACTAATTGTTATTTCATTAATTAGGTGTTACAACCATATAAGCTTTAAAAAAATTAACAGAAAAATTTGTTATGCTACAAGGTCAAATTAAATTTACCTATAACTTATTACATTATGGAGATTGTGCTTAGTGCTTTGTATATTATTTCTCTCTCTATCTCTATGTGCTCACAATGCTCCTGATAAATAATTTCATTCCATATTAAATGTCAAAAATTAATAAATGAAGCCTTTTTAATATGGAGTCAGCTCTGCCATCTCAGAGGAACTGTCTTGCTGTCTTATGTCTCAAACCTTTCGAATGTTACAACAGAGCAGAAGAAACTTTAGACTGACCTAAAGCAACATTGTATCCCAAAGAACTGTTTGCAGAGAACAAGAAAGCAGATATTATGACTACCAGACTGATGACTGCCAGACTGAAAATTAAAAAAAGAAAAATTATTTAGAATTGGCATCACTATGTTAGTTTACCTACACCAATAGAAAGGCCTTCCTTCTATTGATGTAATTGTTCCCCTTCCCTTTCTAATAAATACCTCCTATTCTTTTCTCCTAATCAGAGCGCTATTCGAGTTTCTGCCTGAATCAGTGCTTTACCAAATAGCTATTCTTTGATCTCAAATAAATGCTTGTTGCCTCTCGCTTTGAAAGGCCTTTTATTTTTAGGTCAACATATTGAAGAAAAACAGATTGAGTGTGTACCCACATTTACACACCCACTTAGTATTAACATGGTTGAAATTCTAACAGTGATACTCCTGTACTCTTTTATAAAAAGGTCTTCTTACTTTACATTATAAATGTTAATATTTTATGTAAAAATCATAACTATATCAAATATATCAGAATCTAAATTTTAGTTTTGTCTAAATTTTTTTCACCAACTTAAATTCCCAATTTGTTTAAAATTGCAAATAACAGATATTTTAGCATTTTTTACTGAAAATTACTGCTTCAGTCACAGCCAACTAAGAAATATAATACTATTGAGAAAGTCTGGCATACTCAGTCATAAACTTGAGTACACTCAGAGCATCAGTAACCACAATAATTCATAGGAGCTATTTACCCCTTTTAAAAGGAATACATTAAGAAATTGTCTACTTTTTCACTGTTGTACCCTTAGCATATAGAAGTAGATAAGAGATCAATAAATGTTTGTGAATGAAGAAAATAACTGACATTACTAGGTAAAGTTTTAAAGGATCTAATTATCTACTTTAAATCCTTTGCAAAACTCCAATAAAATTTCCTAAACAGTTTAAAGATTAGTCACTTAATCTGTGCATTAAAAAAATAAAGATCAATTGTTTAAATAAAATAAATCAGAAAAACTATTTGGATTACAAATGAGACAATATTTATTTAGAAAGAAGTGTGGATAAACCTTACTCTGAGATAATTTTATATATTTGAGCATATTGAATGAGGAATGGTAAGATTTCATAAAAGAAGAATGTTTTTAAGGTGTATAATTTATTTTGTATTGGTGAGAGCATAGAACATAGTTAGAAGTTGACTCATGTGACAAATTAGAAAAAATAAAAGAATAATTATGACAATTAAAACACATACTTTTAGTGTTTTTACATGCATGCATTACCTGTTTCATTCTTACAACATTTCTGTGAGGATATACAGGCATCAATTCTCTACTCTGGTTTTATAGATAAGGAAACCGAGGATAAAAGTAAAAACAGACCTTCTGTAACTTAGCACGTGATTTTAGTATTCTCACTGAGGTAAAACGCATGGCATGCACACAGTTTCTGATGTGTTTTCTGATCTATTGATTGTATACTTCAAGAGAGAAGGAGCACGTTTGCCTTTTAATAGCATTATGAAGATTGAGTAATAACCTTATTCCCTATTACAGTGCTTGAGAAGTAATGTCATATTTACTTATTTTTTTTTCTTTTAGGAGACAAAAATCCTTTATATGTTATTTCTATTAGATCTTTTTAAAAAATAAATACATTTCTATTTATAAAGACAAAATTTACTAAAATATTTAGAAAACGATGGTTTTCAGTCATCAAGTTATTATAAGTAAAGATTAATTCTTAAAAAACTCTATTAACTATCTTTAATTTATCTTTTAATATCTATCAGAAATGTAATACCTGTGGAAAGACTCTAAAGAAAAAAAATAAGTTTAGCTAAGAATTCACACAGAAAAAAATATGAGAGGAAAATGTTCAAAAGAGAGACATTGTGTTTTAAATCTTTATAGGTCTAAGATTTTATATAAAGCATGGTTATATCAGAGATAATAAGGAGTTAGAGGTTGTTAGTCTAGACCTTAGTTAGCTGTCAAATAAGAAGGTACTCTGTTTCAGTTTTTAAAGTTATCTTTTCAGTCATTTATTTCCCACTCCATTTCCATTCAATACTTACCCAGACTTATCACAAATAATAAAAGTAAATATATAGAAAGTTTTTTTGTACAAAAATATAAAAAGATTTTAAAAAGAAAACAACGTTTTACTTATTTGCATTTTTAAAATAATCTCTGTTTAGAGTTAGCAAATTGAAATTAAAGTTCTCCAGTGAAATGCTCATTTCTTTTCCCAAACCTTAAATATAGTTAGTTATCAAATTCACTAAAGATATAAATACCACACCTAGAATGTGTAGGTGTTTTTTGTTTTCCAAAACATTATATTTGTACTAATAGCAAATTTATGAGTTTCTGATGTGTTTTCTGATCTATGAATCTAGTTTTGCTGTCATCAGTAATCTATATGTTGCCTTTTTTTATTGTGTGTACATGTGTAATCCAAGGACCAAGAGACCAGCTATACAATTATCAAATCTAAAGAGACATCTGTAACTGCAGAGGGCTTGAAACCAGCTTCAGTATATGTCTTCCAAATTCGAGCACGCACAGCAGCAGGCTATGGCATCTTCAGTCGAAGATTTGAGTTTGAAACCATCCCAGTGTGTAAGTCATTTTAATTACTGTCAACTCATGTCTCTGTAAGAGTTACCAGAAAAGAGTCAGTGGATCAATACTCTCCCTGGGCATTCTGTCAGTCTCCCAGTTCTTCTCTCTCCCCCAGGCATGGCCTTTTCAGGTAGAAAGCCTCTGTCAAGCTATTATGGTAGGTTAGCGGGTTAACACATTGGTCTCTGCTCTACATCGCATTAAGTCTACTGGGAGATGAAACATCAGGAGAGGCTTACAAAATGTTTAAACCTTGCTTTTAAAGATGTTTTTTTTTTCCACTGCTGCCATACTTTATTGAATTATTGCCATTTACTTTTTACTTGTTTTATTGAACAATGCTACCAGGCTTAGTCTTTCTATGAAAATTCCACAGGGAGCTTTCATTAGCATTTGGTTAGGCAAGAAAATGATGCTCTCCAGAACCAATCTGATTGTTTTTAAAAATCAAAATCTCTGGCATTATCTCTGAAAGAAGGGCCCGGAAATATTTCTGGAAAATCCTTCATGTACCATTTTTTTCATAAATAGCATAAAACTTTTTTCTCTTTAATGTCAAACAAAGTATTTAGCTTACTTAATTATCCTGAAGCATCCTAAAAGCAGGATTAGAAGAAGATAATAACTTGCCTTTTTTATATATACATATATTTATACATACTTTTAAAAGCCAAGTTATGTAAGAATTAGTAATTTTAAAATAAAAATATAAAGTGCATATTTCCTTTCTTTGAAAAAAACAAAATGAGAGCTTAGTTATCAGATTTACTTTGTAATGATTGGAATTATTAAATTAAAATTTTTATAAACCTATAAAATACAGCTCTTGAGAAAAATAAAGAGATACTTTTTTTTAAAGCATGTCTAACTGAATTATCTAGAAAATAAGTTTTATTACTTAAAAAATAGCTTTCTAAGTGTTAAATTTATATGGACTGGAGAGCCATTGTGAAAAATTATAAATTATATTTTCAAGGCAAAGGAAATTCTATGTCTGAGATTTAATTGAAACTACTGAAAGTTGAACATGTAATGCTATTCAGAAAAGTTCCTTAATAGATTTGATAAAAGTAGACTAATTAGTCACAAATTCCCATCATATTCATAATGGATAAATTATTTAATCTCAGAGTTTAAACCCTAAATTGGGTATATGACAAAAGACTTGTTATATAAACTGGCCACTCTAACAGGCCTTGTTTCTATTTGGATACCATTAGTAACGTGTACTGCTTATGTAGTTTACCAACTCTGGGAACAAAGCCATCCAGGAATATCTCACATTATGCTTGAGTGCATGGATGACAATGCAAATAAAAAAATCCCATTTTAAAAGATTACGAAATCTATTTAGTTAGGATGTTGGCATATTCAGCAACTAGTATCTTCAGACTTTTCGATATATTTTTCCTTACTTTTTTATTAAATAGTAATTTCCAGACATGACAAAATTCATCAATCTGATCACTGAGAGAACTAATATGAGGTCATTTTCCATACAGTTTTCAAAGGTTCACCTGCGGCTATCTATTTTTTAAACTTTTCTACATTATTTCTAGAGGAAAAGAAATGTCACTCAATTATTTTTACTACAAACATTTATTAGTAGATAACATTTTAGGGCTGTTCTGCCTTCTAGGTATTAGTGTGAAATTTTATTTTTACTTGAGTATGTGTGTATATATATATATATGTTTGCAAGAATTTTATAAATGGTATTTTCTTTGTACCATGTATCTTTTAAATACCAACCCCCTTTGACCTTCATAGACTCTTTTCTGCATGGAATTCAATACAAGAATATAATGAGCACCTATTATGTACCAGGCTTTGTTAGGCTCTGGAAAAATCACCATGGGTAACACAGGGAATTTACTCTCCAGAGACTAAGATGCAATCTATTTAAACTGAAAAATGGAATATTTGTTACAGCACCATTTTAGGATCATAATTTTATTATTTGAAGTTTTATTTTATTACTCTCTGCACATCAAATGATTTTTCACTCTATATGCTCTGAGTGACTAAGATAACTTTATGGGGCAATTACTCCTTTCTTGAGGTATGTAGTCTAATAAGGAGTTAAAGAAGATGCATGTTGATAATTAAAGTAATTCTTCTTTTTCAGAACTTCTGTAACATTTGTGTTATATGCCATTTATTTGACAATTATTTGACTAGTATTTTATGTGATCATTTAAATTATTTTATTGGGTAATTATTTGTTTAATATCAAAATTTAGTTTTTCACATACATGTATTATTTCTGCAACACAGTCTAAAAATACTTGAATCCAAGAATTGTGGTAACTTAAGTGTATCTTTTTCTATTAACGTAATCAATAATTTTAATTTGGTGGATGAGTATTAACTGTTTACTCAATTCATAATACCGATGCATAATGATGCATAATAATGATGCATAATAATGAAAATTTATTGTTTATTAATTTATATTATACTTCAGTTATAAAATTGAAGTGTTTTCTTTTTCATCTACATTTGGTGTTGCCACTATTATACATATATATTATATGTAGATATATATATATATTTCATTTACATTGGACAGGTGGGTAGTGATATCTCATTGTGGTTTTAATCTGAATTTCTCTGACGGGTTACAATGTTTAACAAGTTTTCATGTTTTTATTGGCCTGCTATAATGTTTTAAATCTCCCCACTAATGGTTATATACTCATATTATGTATCAAAAATTATAACTTTGATAGGATTATACTGATCGAGAAACTTAATAGATACTTATTGATGTGGGAAACAGATCCCAAATCCAGTAAAAGACCTTATAATCTGACTTTAACAAAATCTCTTCACAACAATAAATAACTAAATATGTAGCTAAATATCTTCATAATATGATCTTACAACCAGGAGTGTGAGAAGCAAAATGAGGGAAAACAATGTCATTTTTCAACATATGCTTCCTTAAAGTTTCCAGGGATGTTATAGATATATAATGATTTTTTTAAAAAGATAGATTATTATTTACTAAAGAATATTAATTTTCATGACTGATATCCTTCTAATAAGTGTGTTACAGTTCTCCAAAATTTTCTTTTAAGCATTCTCAAAACATTTTTAGCTATTTATCCAAAACTACAGTATAAATCAACTAATTCTTAATAAATAAGCATAAGATAATGAGAAATATGATTGATTACAGGCTCAACTATTTAACAATTAAAAAATTTAACAATATATCAAAAATGTAATCATGAATCATACTGGGTTTTCAAAATTTTTTTCTGCTGCTAAAGAATGAACGAATATGAAGACATTGACATTACTCTATAAATTCTATGTATTTTCAACTTAGCTGATATAATTATTGATGCTGTCAGGGCAAACAAAAAATAAATAAGTGAGGTGAAATTTGATAAATTGTTTTTTATTATAAACAGCTTACAAAGTAATCAGTATATATGAAATAGTCAATAATTAAAAACAATCAAAGAACTTAGAAAATGCTGCAAATTAAAGTGATAATTTTGGATTTATCATTTGAGTATATAGAAGAAAGCAAAGAAAACACTTAAAACACTGGGAGATTTGCATCAAATAGGTGTCGGATAAAAAAATGTAATGAATGAGGAAAAGCAAAAGAAAGACAAAAATATTTGGTAATTAGTGGGCAAGTAGGGGTTAAGGAAGTTCAGTGATAATTACAAGAGACCAAAAGAGATTGAAATAGTTTTTTTTTTTTTTTTGGTTTGATTATTGTATGCTTATTTATTGATGTGTTTTTATTAAAGCTCTTGGGGCTGCAGATGTGGTATAAGGGCCAAAATCTTGCTTATTTTTATGTAAAAATAAGATTCAAATAAAGGGCAAACAGTCTACTTTTAAAATAGAGTGATGCTTTGAAAGGAAATAAGAGCTGGAGATATAAACTTGGGACTCTTCAACTTATAGTTAACTGATGCCATGTACAAAGATGCATATGAGAGGGAAAGACAGAAAAAAAAGAAGAGAGATCTGTGGAGGATCAGGAGCCAGCATTCATCAGGAATTGCTCACACATGGATGTGGGAAGAGAACTTGGAGCCAACGGAACTCACAGAGAGATGCTTCAGAGTGAGAAAAAGAATATGGCTCATCTGATATATAAACCAAGAGATGTAGACTTTCAAAGATGACGTATATGGTCAATAAGATCAAATACCTTATTATTGTGTATGGTGAGACAAATGGAATAGTTTTCACTGTGTTTATCATATCATGTATAGAACTCAAAAGCAGAAGAAAAGTTTTAGAGATAATTTAATAATGTTGGTTTTCAGAAGATAAGGCTAGTTCTAGATAACTCAGTCAAGATACTGAAAAATAGAAAATAATGTTGGCAAATAAAGCAGGAGGTAATATGTAGAAATAATATTTGCTATTTACTTAAGCTCACCAATAATTGAAGCAGTATACTAAGTGCTTTATATATGTTATCTTTAATCTTAACAAATTATAATGAATCAGGGAAAGTATCCCTATTTGGAAATTAATGAAATGAGAGTTTATGAAGTTAAACATTTTACCTTGGCCTTTCTGTCTAGTAAATATTGAACCTGTTTTCAAATTCAAATTAAACTAATATCTGTAAGGTTAGGTATAACAATTTATTTTCCCCAAGAGATATTTCTTCAGGCTTGTACATAGCAGAGAAGTAGCCTGTAAAAGAATGTAATCTCCTTCTGGGTGGAGACTTTTGAAGGAGCAACAGCCTAGAGACAGGAAGGGCTCTAACAATGGAGTCAGGTAAAACAGAAGATGATTATGCAGTTATATTAAACCATGGAGTTCAGACTTTATAGCTCTCTTTTATCCATAAAGTTTAACATCACTAAAACATGAGAAGTGGTAGTGGACTAGTGCACTGAATAAATGAGAAAGACTAATTGGGGGAATGATTTTGTTAGATAATTAATAAGAATCAAAAGTGTTGGAGCCCTATCAAAATAACATGAAACTTATATGAGCTATGTCTGCATGATTTTCTCTAGAAACAGTGCTCCTGCTAAAAGGAAAGTTAACTGAGAAAAAACAAAAGTATAAGTAATCTTAGTTTAGAGATTAATAAAACATATCTTAGGGAGGGCTAATAGTGATAGCGGAGTAGCTTTGTACCACCCTATTTTTACTGCTTATCAGTATTAAAATCCCTACCACAGAACTCAGCATCAGATAATAAGAGAAAACAGGTAAAGAGCCATTAAATTGCAACTATTATCCAAGAAGAGGTTGGATAAGAGCATAGATTTAGATTGTAAATAACTGTCTTTCTTTACACGAATGAACTGTTGATGATATTAGACTCTGAAGATTGGTCTGAAAAGGTTGAAAGTGTGGATCAACACAAGAAGATGGTTAGAGAGTCAGTCAGCTTTCATTAGAATCAAGAGAGAGGTACAAAATAGAAAGAGAAGTGTTCAGATGTCCAATACTTAGATGGAGCCAAATGGAAAGTATGGTTTTTATTAGTCTTGATGACTTAAAATTTATCTTGGGAGTGAACTAATGCTACTTTGAATTTATCAAAAAAAAAAAATATGTCATTAAACACTAAGATGCTAGGGATCCTAATGAGGTTTTCTGGAGAATATCAGTAAAACTTATTTTGCTCTAAATATTTCTTATTTTAATTAGGTTTCATCATCAGCACAACAGAACCATTTCCTTGGTTATTTAGGTATAACTATCTAATCTTGTCCATATTCCTCTTATTATGCTAATTATATTGTTAAAATATAATATATTTTATCTAAATCCATGCATTTTAAAGAAAAAATCATGTGAACGAAATTAATCTTACTCCGGACTCTAAATTCCAAATGTATGCCTTAATGTTTTTCAAAAAGCAGTCCTACTTGTAAAGTATACTTACTGATTATATTCTGCTTGAAGAAACGGTGTTTAAAATTATATTTTGAATAATGATATTATACTTTACCTCAGAGGTCATATATCATTTTGGACTTCAAACCAACGTCCAAAAATTCTATCTAAGGTAAAGACATTTTTTTTTCTAGAGACCAGTCACAGTCAAACCCTAAAAATGTCAAATCTCATCTACTTAGCACTTCCTATTTAGATTAAGGTGTTTGAAATAGAGGACTAAATTCCATTTTATCATGCAAACCTAAGATCTCTAGATGAATATTATGCAAACAATTACCTTCATTTTTTATGATGACAACGAAATAATCAGTGACTTAGTGATTCTTTTAAATTTCCATTTGGAAAGTAAATATTTTCTCCTAAAAATGTCTTTTCAATTACACACTTTTGAGAAGAGATATTAGAGGAAAATCTCAGCCAAGTGTGGATGAATTGCTTAAACCATGCATTGATTACCAACTATTAAGCAGCTCTTATTTGAATTCATATGATCACTTTAACCACAGGCTCCATTTTCTGTGTCTTCTATTAGCAGTTGCAGCATCCAGCGATCAAAGCCAGATTCCTATAATTGCTGTGTCTGTGACAGTGGGAGTCATTTTGTTGGCAGTAGTTATCGGCTTCCTCCTCAGTGGAAGGTAAGAGTGGAAGCTGTGAGTTTCAACTTTTGCAGCTGATCTCTTCCCTACCTTGATCTGACCATTTGGCTGTTAAGCACATCCCAAAACAAATCAGGCAAACAATATATCAGTAGATAACCTCAATGTATGATGTATTTTTTAAGCCTTGTCTTGTTCCTGTTAGTGCTAACTTTTAAGCACACAGTTTCTCTTTTTCAGGTGTGGTCTCTTCACCAAAAATAGTATGAACTTGTTATTCTTTATTCTGTCATTAATATAACCACATCTTTGTCTGATATAATTGTTTTCTTTTTACCTGAATTTTTTTTTTTCCTCTCAAAAGCACTTATGGTTGCTTGCTTCAGTTTTAGCATTTGGAAAGGCCTATGGCTATGCCTGGTCGATTTAGAGGAATAGGACTAATAATTCTAGTTAGCCAGCATTCTGTCTTACAGAGGGTGATGGATGCAAAGCAGACACTCTGGCAAACAAGCATTTTGAGAAATAACCAGCCCTTTTTTTTATGACTGCTTTTATTTTCAGCTTCTGAATGATTTCAGCCTGACTACATCAATCATAGTGTATACCGATTTAAAGTGACTTTTATAGAATGTTATATCAATAGATATATTAATATGTGTATTACATATCTACATTTTCATTTTGAACAAAAATAAAATAGGTAGAGCTCCAACAAGAACTTTTGTTGGAGGTATTGCCTGACATTGAGCTGAGCATAATCAACTTTACTATAAACAAACAAACAAACAAATAAAAACATGATCGTACTCTATTCCTACAACAAACATTTTAATTTTTCCTCCAGGTCACCATTAGACGGCATATTTAATAATGACAGCTGTCAATTTGGAAATGTTCCGGTATTAAACTAGTATAGAAAACTTGATGAAAGCCTTCATGGAAAATATTTTAAACCTGTACAAATATGTGGAATGTACTATAAAGTCCAAAAAAAGTCAAGAAATCAATATTCATATTGATTTTGTTACTGCTCTACTCACTTTTGACTCCTCAGCACCTATTTAAGTCATAAATATACAGAATTAGGTACTTTTCAATATACTGCATATTGGATCCTGGAAATATCCTTAAATTACAGCAATAATTTATTTTAATAAAATATCTTTTAGTATCTGAAAATTTCTTCTTCTAGTTCTCATTTAAGAGTGTTTAAAGTTTTCTTAAGAATATATGTAGAAATGCATCACTTACATTTAATGTTAGAATAGCAGCAATACATTTTTAGAAATTCTAGATGGGAAGCAATTTGTGTTCTGTTGAGGACAACTAGCCCTAGTCAGCCAGAAGGCTAGCTATCTAGTGCCCCACTGCTCTCATCTCTGAAGTCACCTGCAGAAAATGTTCTACCTTTGTCCCAACTTTTTGGAAGATAAGTTAATTCCACCAGTCTGATCATAAAAACTTTGCTGAGATTTTGATCGAATAAGGTAATTTAGCTGAGTGAATTGTAATTACTAAGAAAACTACCATGTGATAATATGTCTTTTCTACTGCGAAAAGGTAGATAACTATGCTACATTTGAAGAGCTGGTTTATAATATAATTTCTTTACAGCTGACTAAGATATGAGTTTCTTCTTTCTTTCCAATAAATCCAGAAACATTGGTTGTATTTAGGGACATGGGGATCATAAAAAATAATACATTTTATTTGTTGGGTCAATACTTAGGAGAAATGAATAAAAATGGAGGAATGAGCTAGGGTGTAGAATCCAATAAATATATGTGTTTAAGAGTTTTTTAAAAGACATATCAAATATAAGAAGAATTTTATTGTAGAATTAGAATACTATATTTCTTTTACCTAAGTATCATTGATGTGAATTTATTGATGACAAGCAGCTATGGATTCTTGCTTATATGTATGTGAATTAGCCCATTTCTCAAAAAATTTTCTTCCCTAATATATACATAAAATTGACTTAAAAACAATTAATTTTGTTACATCTGAAGCATTAGGCAAAGTGTTTAATGAAAAGTTCAATTTACCTATTATTTGGTAACTGAAGGATAATATAGCTTTAACATACACATACACAAATTCTACATACACACACGCAAATTCCATATGTATCTGAATTTGCTGTACAAGAATAAATAAATTATAGTACAATTTCTCAGTTATGCTAGAATCACATCTACACCCAAGAGACAAAGTTTAATTGTCAGAATAACTAAATCCAAGGCTTAGTAAGATACATTTTTAGATGTATTGTCTTATAGAAGCCTATTATTTTTAAAAAATCTCAACATCTTGTACATTTGTGCAGTTTATCTATATTAATTTTTTTCCTAATTTAATTTTATAACACAGCCTATAATGCTGAGGCTAAGAATTTACAGTTTACAGGAAAACAAATTTTACCAAAAAACAATCTGAGATTTCTATTTTTTTATTAGCAAATTTTTGAATGAGACTTGTATTACTTCATTTTGTTGAATGCACATTCTTGAATTTCAGGGAGCATTTGTCATATGATAGAAACATCTTTGTTTTTTACTTTTTACAAAAAAGTTATTGTATTTGTATTATATAAACATACTTATTCAAAAACAAAATTATATGGTTGTGAAAGACTTTTCTCATTCAAAGCAATGAACTTTGTAATTTTTGTCTGGACTAAGAAAATCTTATGTACCTTGTAGTACCTAGAGTATCCTGAACTCAGTAAACATTTGTCAAATGAAAGAAAAAACTAAATGAAGAAATATCTCCAAAACTTAACAAAAATTTGGGAAATTATCTTTGAGTACTAGCAAATTGTTGAAAAAAGCCTGTTCTAGGAATGGTCTAGGGACATTGAATTGTTTCTCCCTCCTTTCTGTACCAAAATATGATTGATAAACTCACAAAAATATAATGACATTGAGACATACTCTCACATAGAACTTACTCTCTCATCACTTTTAAACTCTTGAATATAATATAAACCAGATATTTGCTCCTAGGTAAAATGTCTTTTAATTGCAAATAATTTGACTCCTCAGTGGTGATATAAATTATTTTTATATATTTCAAAATTATGAATATCACTTGTATGCAATATTTGTGGACAATTTATATCATCCTTTGAGCCCATGAGAAAAGTATATCTTGAAGATCCGTATTCACTGACAATTTCTTTTTTCATTCAGACCAAAGAGAAAAACTGAGAATTATAACATGCTAAATACTATGAGACTAATTTATTAAAAAAAAAAAACAACAACACTCTTTTATTATAAAATACATTTAAAGATGAAAAATAAGTTAAATATAGAGAATACTCTTTTTAGGGTAAAATTGATTATGCAGAAAACTTTTGAAGTCTTCCTACCTAGATACTACGGTTTAAAATAATATTGACAAGCATTGATCTTAAAGGAAAAGGTTCTTTTTTAAAAATGGCAAAGAATTATAACATCTTAGAATTCTATCAGTTTTAGAATTTGTGTGATCTTCCTGTTTAAAAGCGCTAAATATTCCATAGAGCATTTTGTGGAGGGTTCAGAATCTCCTTTTGACTTTCTTTCTTATTAATTTTAAATGATGTTTTCATGATGCTACAAAATATTTGACATGTCCTCAGCAAACTAAGAGCTATTTACCCTGGGATGAATATAAAGTAAACCTCCTGATATGCACCGCATGTTTTAATTGATTTTTTAATTTTTCTCATTTATTGATAATGACATTGCACATTGATAACTTTCTTGTTATATTATAATTTTGTGTTTTTTCTCTTTTATATGCTATTTTATAGATATAACTTATTTAATCATTCTTTCATGAATGATTGTCGTCTCCACCCTCTTCCAATTGCATGTTTGAAAAAAGTCTCTTGTGTTCTTCCCCTTTCTTTCCTTTGAAGATGATCATTAATATTATTTAGTTGACATTTCTTTTTCTGTGTCCTTATTTCACACTTGAGCTTAATTCTGAACATTGATTATTGGACACTCTTTAGTCTGATATAAAGCTTAAATAAACAGTATTTAACAGTACAGAAAATACACAATTACATGTTTGAAAAAAGTCTCTTGTGTTCTTCCCCTTTCTTTCCTTTGAAGATGATCATTAATATTATTTAGTTGACATTTCTTTTTCTGTGTCCTTATTTCACACTTGAGCTTAATTCTGAACATTGATTATTGGACACTCTTTAGTCTGATATAAAGCTTAAATTAACAGGATTTAACAGTACAGAAAATACAAAGGAAAAATTTTTCAATGGACAGAAACTATTTCTTCTTTGAAAATAGGCATCCTGAGATTAAATAATACATTTTTAGTCCCACATTTCTGATCTTTCATCTATTATGTGTCCATGAATCTAATTAAATTTAAAGAAAATTTGGAGGTTTTTTCCAATTCATTTCACATGTATATTCAGAGGTTAAAGACACACACGTTACGCACCTGTACATCACACATATTTACATGTTTTTGCATATAAACACAAAAAAGTTAAACCTATTTTTCAATTTTAAAATTGAAAAACAAGACCAAAATACCTATAAATCCCAAAGAGATGAGAGGATCCCTCAAGCTGCTTAGCCTTGAATGTGATTTAAAGACTATTCGTAAATGACTTCAACGCTACGGTGTTCCTGAGATGATAAATTTTGTCTTAGCAGTGGCTTAATGCCTGTAAAAATGGGTTAACTATTTTCTGGGCAAAAGATCTTCACCTCGTTTGTCCTAGTGAGGTTCAAATTGTATTGCTGGACATAAAACTGCTAAATTCTATTTCCCTTTGTCTTTCATTAAACAATTGAATGTCAATCCACTGAAATGTTTTATAGTTTTCTAAGGCCAAAATTGTTCAGAGGTCAATGGATACTGTACTTTGAGGCTAATCTATCAAAATTAAATACTGATACTGTATTAGAAATTTAGAGAAAAAAAGGTTGATTTTATATATGTGTGTGTGTGTGCATATATATATAATGCTGCTTTAGGTTTTTTTCATTACTTGAAAATAATATTTAAATTTA